AATCTTATTTTGGGGGGGTTGAATGTTTGTTCCAGTTGTCATCATGATTGTTAGTAACCTTAACTCTATCTAATCCCAGTCACAATCAAACCCCATTCATACTTGTATATCTGTCCAGTGTGTCGGTCCTACGAAACAAAGAAGATACCTAAAGACGGGAGGGAACAATCTCTGCCCATCTCCCATCTCGCACTCCACAACCCTCGCTCCGCACCACTCACAAAACCGCAAATGCACTAGCATAAGAAACACTGCTATCCTTGACACTCACCACCTCACTACTCCTCTCATACCTCACGAACCGAAATCTCCCCTTACCCTCGCCCAACAACCCCGCGCTCTCGACCGCCGCCATGAAGACCCCAATCGGATGCCTCCCGCACACGGTATTCCCCGTGCGCTCCAACTGTCTCACAAACTCATCATGCACACCGCTCTCGATCGCATCCATGCTCTCAAAATCGACCGCCTTGATGCTCGCGTGGATAGGGTAGTCCTTTAGGTCCGACGAGCTGGTGCTGGAGCGCAGCTGCACGGCGGTGGTGGCGCCGGAGCGTGGTTGGTAGTATGTGTAGCTGAAGCGCGACCCCCAGTGGCAGAAGTCGGAGGATATGACGAAGATGTTGGATGGGTCGGTCAGGTAGGGGGCGAGGCGCGCGCCGAGGTCGCGTTCGGTTTTGGGCGTCGTGGCGCCGACCATGATGGGGATGAGGGGGACGGAGGCCGGGTTTTGTTGGAAGGAGGTGTTCTGGCTTTTGGGGTTGGGGTTAGTTTGGGGGTTTGGGTAATAAAGGGAGGGATGGAGGGGGGAAGGGGGGGACTAGGTACAGTGAAAGCATTCGGTGGATGTAGGGGAGGTGCATTTCTAGACTGTGTTCGTCTTCGTCGGTTTTGAGGTTCATGGTGTCGAGGTTCCATTCCTTCTTGATCTTTTGGACGAGGTCGACGTCGACGATGAGGTCGCCCAAGGGGGTCTCGTATTTCTCGCAGGCGGTCGTTGCGGCGGTGGGGAGGTAGTGGTGGTGGGATGGTCCGAGGAGGAAGACTCGTTTGCTACGATTCATCGGTCAGTATTTGCAAGTTTGGTTCGTGAGAGAATGGGAGGCTTACACGTTCGCCCAGTCGGCGCTCTTGTATGCCCACGCTGCTGCAGGCCCGGAGTATGCGTAACCAGCGTGCCTACGCATCATGAGCCCCGTTGTTCTTGTTCATCTTTGATATGGCTGGCCTACGGTGCAATTATGGCTCGTGCATTTGGAACCGGTGGCGAGAATTCACCTTCTTGTGAAGACATCGTGCCTATAGGGCGTATTGAGCTGGGAACTTGATCGAGCCATTTGTCGAGTTGCCGCTGGAGTTGACGGCCATCGTCGGTGTACCATGACCCTGCATGTGAGGCTTCGCGAACTTTGGGCATTTTGTGTCAAAATCCTCGGAGTGATGGTATTGAGACTTGAAGATAATGGAGTTGTTGTGAAAGAGAGAGCTACCGCGGGGTAGATGTTGAGCTGTAGAGGGGTAGACTATATGTAGGTACGACGTAATCAGTTGTTCTTCGGGATCCCAAGGAGTTGGTTGGATTTGATTTCACCTTTATGATTGTATGACTTGCACAGAGCTACCCCTAGCTTCTCTCGACTTCGATCCTAACTTGCTCAATAATTTGACGTTGTGTATATTTCATATCGCGAATGTTTTACCTTTGCTACATATCTATGGTGAAGTGATGCGCGGTGATCGACGCATGGGGTATTTGCTTTAAATAGATGAGACTGACGAGCCCTCCAAACTTCATAAGACCAGGTGATTGTTGACATCTCTTGAGCAGAGAGCTGTAACTAAATGCCACGACAGCATGAATGGTTGCGGGAAGCCTGGGAAATAATGTACTTATATAAAGTGATGAGATCCATGCACTACAGGCAGGCTGACATTCAAAGCACACAAGCTCCCCCGCATACATGTATCCAGCAAGACAGAGCTCTTTGACCGCGTAAATAAATAAAATAATACTAACATTTAAGACCGTCATGAAACGCTCAAATAAAACTAGAATGAGCAAGACTTATCAACAGAATCAAGAGTTCGTGACATATTGCTGACTGCGGAGAAGTAATTAAGCAGCCGGGGCCCCTCAACGCGTCGCCGCGCCCACGATTCGCGACTTTCGCGTCCAGCCTCCTCCTCAAACCCAATTCCATCGTCATCGTCAGCCCTCCGTCAGCTCTTATAACACCCTCCATTCCCCCTCGAACCGCAACTTTACCACCTCGCCATCTCATCACCAACCCCCATCCTTTTTCCTGTAACAATAAATCAACACAATGGCCCTCAAGCGCAAGCGATCCGACGACGCCTCCCCCATCTCCATCTCCAGCTTCGGCAGCATGGCCACGCCCGAAGGCCCGTCGCCCACCTCTCACCCTCACAGTTTCGATGGCGCAATGGAAATGGACATGTCATCAACGCGAAACACCACCGGTTGGGATTTCTCCTCGATAGGCCGGACGAAAGCGAACAGTGGTGATTGGGGCCTGCGGACGCGTAAAAGGGTGCGCGACAATAGGCCTGATGAGCACATCATCCACGGTAAGTTCCACCCCCGATAGTTACTATATATATAAAAAAAATTCCCACAGTCACTGATTTGATGTAATTAGAAAACACCATCAACAAACTATTCACCGCGCAACGCAAACACCCACACGCAGAACCCATCTTATCCGAGCCCACCCTTCCCCCCCAACCCCTACCGACCATTCCTCTCGCAAAACCGCAGAAATCGACGTTACATGCGTTCTGGAACCTCCCCGCGCCGCCTGTACAGCCTATCTTCCATCAAGCGCAGCAGCAGAATCAGTTTTTGGAGGTCCCGCGGTGTGAAGACTGCGACACTTCGTTGCAGACGGAAGCTGATGGCATGGATGTTGATATGGAGATTGATGGGGATTTTGGTGGGAGTCCGTTTTCTTGCAACGAGTGTGGGAGGAAGGTGTGTGGGACGTGTGCTGTGGTATCGGATGCGAGGCATTGCTTACAGTGTGCGACTTCGACGAGGAATTCGAGGCGGTGGTGATGTAGAGATTGTCCCGACATTTCTATACTATGCACTTTCTTATATGTGGCGGACAAACATAATCGCGTCGGCGTTTTCTTCGGGGAGAAATTGTTTGGTTTACGATATCCCGGGTATAGGTCTCCCAGGCGCAGGCAGTGAGGATGTATATGGCGCGCGTGCAGGCTTGCTCATGACGTTTCCGTTTCGTGATGTCTAATCAAAACAAACTATGAAATACATATGGGGTATAATAAACCTGTTATATAGTACATTTCCCTCCTATCCCTTTTGTGCCTGTTCCAGTGAGTTACGATGTGATGCCCTGATATAATACAACGGCTTCACCGAGCCAGCATAACCGTATTTTGAGAGTCCCAAGAACCCAATTCGCCAAATATCGTACAAACCATAATCATCGAAACCACCCCTGAAGCACTCCCATAAAATACAACTTCACCCATCCACAAATCATACCTTTGCAAACATCAACCCCCCAAAAAGCCCATCCATCACCACCGCACCCAACAGCCAAGAGAGGAGAGCAATCCACATCTCAAAAAGAAGCACCACCACCACTCCAAAAACCCAACTCACTCCACGACCGCCAAAACACTCTCCTCCAACCCCTTAAGCATCCTCTCCAACTCCTCAATCCTCTCTCCAAACCTGCGCTCCACAACCTCCCCACTACCACCACTCTCCACAAACCCCCGATAACACGTCTGCAACGCCACCAGCGTCTCCCTCGCCTGCGCGCAGTCGTCCTCAGCGTACGCCGTCTTCCTTCCAACCTCCTCAGCCGCGTCCTCGACGTCCTCCCGCGCTCTCTCGTACAGTTCCTGTAGCGTTTCAAGCGCGAGGGTGACGTCGGGGTCGTGGGAGTCTGCTGGCGAGGGGGAAGGGGAGGCGTGTCTACGGAAGGGTGTGCGGGGGGAGGAGGTGAAGGTTCGCACGGAGGAGAGTGTGTAGGGTGTGCTGAAGCGCGTCCATTGTGAGGTAGAGGCGAGGATGGTGTGGTTGCGTGCTTGGTATGGTGGGGCGGGTTGCGTGGGGGAAGGAGGGGAGGGTGGACGGTGTTGTTGTTGCTGGGAGTTGGAGTTGGAGTTGTTGAGTTGGGGGAGGAATTGCGTGTGGAGTTGGGTGCTGGTAGAGCGGAGGGTCGTGGTTGCGCTGCGGAGGACGAGGGTACGGAGGGATGGGCCGATGGCTGGCATGGTTTTTTAGGGTGGGATTGATTGTGAGGCAATTGTTTGTTATGGCGTTTGTGAGGTGTTGGGAGGCCTCCCCGGTTGGGGTTTGTGGGGTGGAGGAGGGAGGGAGGGATGTCAGATTCCGGGGGACTGGTGTGTCGGCGTCATTGCTGCGGGAGCCCGCCCTCGGATCTGCAGACAGTACACTGAAACTGAGTACACTGATTGGAGTAAAATGATTTGGCTCTGCTATACACTGTTTGAAATGAAATGAAACGAAATAACTTATAATTAGCTATTATTGTTTACAATATTTTGAACATGCGAATACCCCTTTTTCTTCGAGTTCCCGCTCACGCATCTGTGATTAGAAGCAGCAACGCACCGTGATCCCACAATTCTTTCTTCGCGGAATTTTATCCTCTGGCACTTTAAAACTCGCTGATTCTTCTGATTCCATAAAATAAAAGAAATGAACGTGTTGTGTGGTTCATGTTCCAGGGTACAAAGTGACCTCACGATGACATCCGTTCCGGTCCTCCAACCCACTCTAACTAATTTTTACGGCGATCTACATGCAACCTAGGCCCCGCTACTAGTTGATACGCATTAGCCCAGCAGTTTGAGCCATGGTGTTGGCCTCAAACTTCGCTTATGCATCGAACAAAACTTGCCATCCGCCAAACAATTGCTCTCTACAAAAACCAACTTTTGCGTGATTTCTCCATCAATTCATCAGAAGCGCAATTGAAGCGAGCGTAGTCTAGTGGTTATGATGTCTGCTTTACATAGCTAAATGTGGAGCGCAGAAGGTCGGGAGTTCGATCCTCCCCGCTCGTATGAGTATTAGCATCAATTTTTTGACTTTTTTGCCTTCCAGCGAACAGTTACGCGTCTGGGAAGGCGAGAACAGCACCATTCCAAGATTTGACGATGCACACGAGCCTTCTTTTTGCTAGAGATGCGAAATACAGACTTGATTTTATTTTAGGGGTGAGGAATGTGCTCAGAACAACTTTTTTTTCTCCTTAAGCCGTCCTGCGTATATTTAGGTGCCTGTGACGGCGAGAAGAGCGCCGTTTCCATACTCCTCAATTAAACTAGTCTCCTCTATGCTAGAGATACAAAATACAGGCTCGAGTTTATTTTTGGGTTGCGTAAGGGGTGAGAAATGGCGCATAGATGGTCGGTAAAAATAGCACCTTCCATGAAGATGGATCATGGGAAATAGCGCGATTCATAGCATCGCATTCATCAAGAATATCATGGATATACAACCGAGAGTAAAGAGAATGTCAAAGACAACACTACTGTCTTTATTTGACGGCAACCGTGCCATGATTCTACGGGATACCTATATAAGATGATAGGCGAGTGCGTCGTCCACTAAACAAGAGCAATGGCTCAAGAGTCCACAACCAACGCCAAGTATAAATGCATGAAAAATAGCTCAACCCAGCCGTGGTCGAGGCGTCGATTGGTGCTTTACAGTCCATCCCTGAACATTCCTTCGAACGCCCAATGTTTTCTTTTGTGGTCCTCCGGGCCGGTTCTGTAGCTGTTCCATTGATGTTGTGTGGAAGGTCGACGCGGTCCGAGACACATTTGTCGACGCCAATGAGAACGAAGATTGTTTGATGGGGCTTTCTGGATCTTTTTCAGGAAGCGAAGAATCCTGATGCTTCGAGGGACTTTCAGGCTTTGGGGGCGAACTCGACAGGTCTACCCATCGCTGATTTTCTGGCTCGACTCTCCTTGGTTTGCTGGCTATTCGCGCATTTTGGACTTTGTAGTTGGAAAACGCTGGTGCTTGATACGGGCGCGACGTGGGTAACGGCTGAGATTGTAGATTTGAGATATCCGCAAGAGCAGAGCTATCTGTGAATGAAGATGATGACCGTTTTAGCAAAGGTGCCTTCGCTGGCAAGTCTTCTGCTTCTACTTTGACAGTTGTCTGAGTTCGAGAAAAGAAGCTGGTGATAGCCCCTTGCCCTGCGGCGCGTGGTTTGACCTTCTTCGTCTGCACGATTTTCTTTTCAAATGTTTTCGTCTCCTTGTATGCGGTTTTACCAGTCGCTGCATCTCGGGCTGTTGCGAGCATCCGGATGGCTTCAGCCTCTTCCTGCATTTTCTTTATGTCGCCGAGATCTTTCGCGCTTGTGAAACCACTGTTAGTGCTTTTGAGAGTTGTATTTGCCACAGAGTAATTCGTCGACTGTTGCATAGTGATAGAGACAGTGGCACCGGCGAAAGAAGATGATTTTTCCAGCTTCCTTCGCTTGGGGAATTGCTCCAACTGCTCGTTGTTGACCTTGGATTCGTTCCACGAAGGCTCTTCACCGTCAATCGCTTCTCGCGTCAACGGGTATTGGACATCTTCGGGAAACTCGAGTGTTTCACGAGCTGCTTCAATGGCTTCAACAGAAGGGCATTCTCGGTTCAGAATCTTCGCGATGTCTTTGAGAACTGTACATCCTTCCGCGGGGCTTCCAATCGTTGGCCCGCTAAGAGTAAACAGTTTTTGAGTATCTGGGTCAGTGATGAACTTGGAAAGCACCGTATCTTGTTGTCTAGATTCTCTGACAGGGCAACTCAGGTATAGCAAAGCCTGTGCTCGGGTCATACCAACGTAGAGCAATCGTCGCTCCTCATTATGATCCTCAGCCCTGGAATGAGGAATAGAACCGTCGTACACCGCAGGTATGAATGTGACAGGCCATTCCAAACCCTTGGCAGCATGGATAGTAGATATTGTGACCTGGCAGAGCTCTTCGCCTTCGTTCTTCTCGACTTCGGTCGAAAGAGCGACGTTCACGAGAAATTTTGATAATATGTCGGCAGCGGTATCTTCTCTTTGCTCAATCCCATCAACCACTGGGAGTGCATCATCTTCAGTGTCGGTAAGTGCGCTTGCCAGCTGGGTCGCTTGGACCACAAGTTCCTCAACGTTAGCCCACCGATCTCTCCAGGAGTCCTTGTATTGGCCCTTGAGGTATGCTTCGAATGATATCTTTTGAAGCACGTGGCTAATCAATTCCACGATAGAGCATTCCTCGCCGTCCTCGGCGAAGAGCTTCCGGCGCGAAGTGATGATCAGGTTTACAAAGGTATCGATACCATTCTGTGCTGATGATGAAATCTTACTATCCGGTCGTCTCTTACCCTGCGCGCAATCCAGGATCAGTTTCCACAATGTTATCTTTTTCTTGTCCGCTTCTCCAAGAAGAGCCTTGATTGTAGTTTCGCCGATCTTTCGAGAGGGTAGATTGATGACTCTAACTAGTGCTTCATTGTGGTCTGGCATATTGATGACTCGTAGGTAGTCCAGTACGATTTTGATCTCTGCTCGATCGAAGAAACGTTTTCCTCCGACCATTCGATAAGGTATACCAGCATTGCCCAGCGCTCTTTCGATAGACAATGATAAAGCGGCCGACCGCAGAAGAATGGAGTAATCATTATAGTTGAGCAGGCCAGCTGCGAGAGTTCTGGTTCGATTGATCTCTTCGACAACCCATTTCGCCTCCAGATGCGCATTAGCCAGATGACGCAGTGTTGGAAGGGTCCCTGCACAGTGTGTCGCAACCAGTGGTTTTTTGGGGCGAGAATCATCTTGTTCTATGACAGCCTTGGCAGCCTGAATAATACAACCAGAAGATCGATAATTGTTCTCGAGATGGATGGCGATAGAGCTTGGAAAGTCATCGCGCATACGCAAAAGATTCTTAATCTCGGCAGAGCGAAAACTGTATATGCTCTGATCCGGATCGCCCACGATAGTGATTCGTCCCTGACTCTGTGCCATGAGCTTCATGAGGTCATACTGGATATTATTGGTATCCTGGTATTCATCGATAAGAACAGCCTGTATACTCGAGACACAAACAGGATGTTTCCGGAGCAGTTCCACGGTTCGCACCAACATGTCATCAAAGTCCAATAGCTTTTGCTCCTTGAGGTATTCCTCGTATTCCGCATAGACGCAGGCAAACTCGTGTTGCTCGGCCTTTTTCTGTGTTGCGGCAAATTGCTCGACGGAAATGCCTTTTGATTTCAATCCAGATATTCGGCCACGCGCTTGTGAAGGCTCCACATTGTGCTTTTCCCGCTGTATTATTCGTTTCAGTATGCTGAGACTCTCACTAGCGTCCGCAATACCGAAATTTTTGGGCAATCCGATGAATTGGCCGTAGCGGAACAGAAAACGACGGGCAACCGAGTGGAACGTTCCAAGAATCAATTTCGATGCAATGTCCTCTCCGACAAAACCGCGTATACGGTCTCGCATTTCTCGCGATGCCTTGATTGTGAAAGTACAAACAATGACATTCCAGGGTTGGAGGCGCTCATGGTTGATATGGTACGCGACGCGTGCTGTGAGCGTCTTCGTCTTCCCTGAGCCTGGTGGAGCGAGAACTTGGAGGACAGAGGCAGGGCTCGTGACAGCACTTCTCTGCGCGTCATTCAGCCCATCCAAAAGGGCTTCCATGTTTGCGGTGGTCAACAGAGACCGCCGAAAATGAGCGTGGCGGGATGGAAGCTTGCTTCACGGTGGCGCGAATCGTCGACGCTGCTAAACACGTCTCCACGTGACCATAATCCGACCAATCATGTTCACTGTGACCATTTCCTCAATCAATTATGGAACATTGAACATTTAACGATGCATCCAAATTTACAGTAAATATTACGAGTATACTGTTGGAAATTCTAGTATACTCAGGAATATATTTAATTCCCAAAATTTCTCATGGACGCCTGTGTAGCCATGCGGTCTTAGGCTGTCCTGAGCTGTGTGGAAAAGTGAAAGAATGAAGCACGTGGAGAATTGAATGTGAAAAAAATCCGGAGCCTGTGAAAAATACCGCCAGTTCCGGAACGATTGAGTTTCACATTGTGCGGGGGTAATGTGTATTTGTTCGTATTCAGGATATTAAATTGTCGTGGTCGCAAGTGATACATTGGCGGGACTGAGCACTCAAGTGCTCACATTTGAAGTGCTAACAAAGGTAGGTAATCAGCGAAAGTAATGTTCTCTCGAATGGCAATTTTGCAACAGTGTAGGCATACATCATGGCAATGCAAATGGGTCGTATTTTGTAACGGACTAACTATGCCCCCTAGATCTTTGTGTCACTAAATGATGATCGTTTGGGGGCTTAAACGCAGGCACAGGGCGAAGTCAAAGCCACCCAAAAACTCCGACAACATTTCATTTGCTAAAACTGAGGCCCGTCGCCGATGTGCGTGAACTTGGGTCGTATTCGGACATTGCGCACAAGTTTTCTGTCCAAATGATGTTCATCTACCAGCGCAATAAAGATATGAATGCGAAAAACGACTTAGCAGCGACTGTTACTGCTCATCTAAATGCTTGGTACGGTTTTGCGACGGATAACCATGTGGGTTTTCTCGCCACTGGAAGGGTAACGAGAAGAATACGAACCGGCATGCAGCCTTTTACGGTTTCTAATTCAGCTTCAGAGTCTCACATCCCCTGATGTACTGATCTGCAAATACTACATATACTTCACCGACATGCACGACATACTCTTCTGCACCGGGAAGCCTTCTTTGACCTCATTCATTCTTTTTAAATCCTTCTAATAGATTGGCCATACCATTCACTCGTTTATTTGATCAAAATGCGCGTCCAACTCGTCGCTACTCTATTCCTTACTGCCGTGTCGACGGTCACAGCAACTGTCGCTTTCCCCCGTTCAATTCTCAACGGCCCTTGCACAGGCAAAGACGGAGCTTCTGGCGTGTGCGTTCCTAAAAGCAACTGCAATCGCGACAACGGAACCTACATCGATGACGCATGTCCTGGCACTCCAGAA